CTTTCCCAGTGGGAAAGAGCAAGAGTCCAATAGCACTCATGCCTGTTGCAGGAGAAAAGACCAAGAGTCCGGGAGCATCTTCAAGACAAACCGTGGCAGGGGAGGAGCTTTCCCGAGTCACGGCTCACTCCTTCGGCTACACAAAACGTAGCCGCTTTGTTCCATCTGTTCTGTGATTTCTAAGAATGCATAGGCCATTCAGTCATCTTAATACTGTATATTTCCTAAAATTTATAAGACTCACGTACACTGCTGTAACTGATCTTGTGCTGGTCATGGGCCGTATTAATGAATTTGATTTGAGCTAGAATATATCTGCACCTACCTGCATCTGAAGAAGTGAGCGGTGACTCACGAAAGCTCCTCCCCTGCCACAGATTTTGTGAGTCTTTCAGGTGCTCCTGGACTCCCGCTCTTTTCTCCTGCTACAGACAGACTAACACGGCTACCCGTCTTGAAGAAGTGAGCGGTGACTCCCAAAAGATCCTCCCCTGCCACAGATTTTGTGAGTCTTTCAGGTGCTCCTGGACTCTTGCTCTTTTCTCCTGCTACAGGCAGACGAACACGGCCACCCGTCTTGATCTAACTCTTTTCCAGTGCATTTTTTAACGCAAGTCCTCTTGTCCTGAGAACTTGGGGCTTCCTCTAGGGGTGTGTGTGCATGTGTGCTTGTCTCTGCCTCCCATGGCGGGCACTTTGTAGTTCACGCCCACCTTGCACCAGGTAAGGGCTGCCCCTCGCTTGGGGCTGGGCAGTGGACCGCCGGTCTAGCAGCCCTCCGGGACGTCTCCCCGTGGTGTTCGCGGCCAATCCTTCCCTCCTCCGGCCCCGCCCCTCCGCACGCCCCGCCCCTCTCCTCTCCTCACCATGGTGTTGTTGAAGCAGGCCAGGCACTGATCCTGCGCCTCCACGCCCCAGCAGTTGCTGTGCTTGTTGCACTGGCACTCCACCGAGCAGTTCCGCCCCACGTAGCCAAAGTGGCACTGGCAGGAGTTGGGCTCCACGCAGGTCCCGTTCACGCAGCCCTGCTCGCACACCGGCTTGCACAGCCCCGTCACGCTGCGGGGGAGACAGAGACCGGGGAGAGTTGTGTCAGGAAAGCCTTTCCAGTCCTTCCGGAGACCGAGACCCGAGAGGAGAGGCCGTGGCTCGGGGACAGAGTATAAACACATCGGAAGGGCCCTGCTGGGTCAGACCAGTGAGGGTCCCTCTCGTCCAGCCTCCCGTCTCACACAGGGGCCGACCAGCTCCTCTGGAGGGCCAACGACAGGGCACGGAGGCCGAGGCCTTCCCCTGATGCTGCCTCCTGGTCCTGGGATGCAATGGTTTTGCTGCCCCTGAATGTGGAGGTTCCCCCCTCCCCTCTTTGCTCTACCCGGTGGGGTGGGGGGTGAGAAGACGGAAGGGAGGAAAGCTCCAGGTTACACCCCACACACCAAAAGGGAGTCCAGACCAGTGTTCCCTCTAAGCTGAGTTAGTGTAAGCTAGCTCACAGTCTTTTAGCCTCCGGCTCACACAATTTTGTCTTTGCTCAGGAAGGAGGGCTCCACAGCAAACTAATTTATGCAGTAGAAGAGAAGAAGAGAAGAGATTGGATTGGATTTATACCCCGCCCTCCACTTGGGAGTCTCAGAGCGGCTTACAAACTCCTCCCCCTCCCCACAACAGACACCCTGTGAGGTGGGTGGGGCTGAGAGAGCTCTGACACAAACTGTGCTTTTTCAAGGACAGCTGTGCCAGAGCTTGTGACTGACCCAAGGCCACACCAGCAGCTGCAAGTGGAGGAATGGGGAATCAAACCCGGTTCTCCCAGATTAGAGTCCGCACACTTAACCACTACACCAAACTGGCTCTCTCCCCTCCCCTCTTTGCTCTACCTGGAGGAGTGGGGGGTGAGAAGACAGGGAAGGGAGGAAAGCTCCAGGTAGCCAGATCACCTGCTCAAAACTTTAATGCCGGCAGTTCACAAAGTAGAATATTTAGTCACAGGACTCCACAGCTTAGAGGGAGCACTGCGGCCACCATAGCTAGTAGCCATTAATATCGAATCCCCTTTTAAAGCTGTTTACTCCTGTGGCCATCCTGACATCCTCTGGCAGTACGAGGCAGCTTCACGGGGTGGAGAGAGTTGACAAGGAGGAATTTTTCTCCCTCTCCCAAAATTCTAGAACTCGGGACCACGGGCGGTAGGTTCAGGGTGGACAAAAGGAGATACGTCTTTACACAGCAAGTGATTAAAAAGTGGAATCCGCTGCCGGAGGGTGTCGTGGTGGTCGCAGGCATAGACGCTTTAAAGGGGACTAGACAGATTCACGGGGGAGAGGTCTAGCCGTGGCTACTCGCCGTGGTGACTCAAGGGAGCCTCCATGTTCAGAGGCACTAAGCCTCTGAATCCCAGAGCCAGGAGGCAACTTCAGGGGAAGGCCTCGGCCTCTGTGCCCTGTTCTTGGGCCTCTGGAGGAACTGGCTGGGCACTGTGTGAGGGACGGGATGCTGGACTAGAGGGACCCTCACTGGTCTGATCCAGCCGGGCTCTTCTGATGTTCTTATGAGGGGAAGGCCTCGGCCTCTGTGCCCTGTTCTTGGGCCTCCGGAGGAACTGGCTGGGCACTGTGTGAGGGACGGGATGCTGGACTAGAGGGACCCTCACTGGTCTGATCCAGCCGGGCTCTTCTGA